AAATAAAAGGCCTTTTTCCTCAAAGTACCTCTCGGGGTTCTCAGGGGTTACTGAACCTTCGCTAACCATTTTAAAGCACTGTTCCAAGGTAGAATCTGCTTTTTGTTCCTTTTTAAATGTACTCTCATTTGGATTCCTCATGGTTACTAAATCAGCTATCTCATCATTCCCTCTTAGTAGTTCATTAGGGAATTAATGTTTTTCCTCAGATATTTATTTATTTTCTTTCTGGGAGCGAGTATTCACTAAAACACTCTTGACATGTTCAGCGAGATCTATCCTGATTAGGCATGGAGTTGGTAGTTCATTCGTAATTCCTGTTTTCCACCACCCAGTCCACCCTTGATATTTTATCAGTATTTTCACCACCGGTAACGTAATTATCTCTGCCCCAATTCCTTTGACTGTTAGGCTTTTATCTTTCAATATATGTTCAGCAGGGATTATTTCTGGATGGCATAACGTCATCTGAGAGCCTTTTAGTCTTTTAGAGCTAGATATTTAGTGTCATTTATATAAATATTATCCCTAGAACATCTAACAAGTTCCTGGTTACTTTCAATCAAATAACAATGGAGAATTTTAGCTATTGGGAGTTGTTGTTCTTGCTGGTCTGGGCTCTCTGCTCTAGCAGTAACTAGGGTTGCTATGGCGCCCGCTTCTACTGCCCCTGTGGGTGCCTCATTCTGCTGTAGGCAGTATAATTTCTTAGGCAAATTCAAGTTCCCTTTTTGTTGCCCACTCTCTATTTTTAGCACATTGAGCTATGAAGTGTCATTGTTCTCCACAGCCAAAACAGCATCTAGAAACTTTTTGTTCAAAACTTGGGGACTTATCTCCCTTTCCTTCCCAGTTTTTATATCTCTGCTGGCTCTGCTCAGAGGGCTTGCCTCCAAAATGGCTTCCAACTGCCTGTTGATTTTTGAGGTTCTCTCTGGGTTCTTTCTGTCATCCCAAGCTTTCCCACCAATTTTTACCTCAGAGTCTCTTGGATGTTTTATTGCTGTGATATGGTCAGCTATTTCACTGGCCTTCAAAATATTTTTAGGCTTTTTATCTTTTACCAAATACCTCATTTCCCCAGGTAGAACTGAGAAAAATTATTCGAGACCAATGATATTTTTCATATCCTCTAGGGTCTGGACCTCTGACTGCTCAAGCCACTTTTCCAAATACCTCATCATATTTGCCCTTAATTGAGAATAGGATTCCTCAGACATTTTGGTCAATGCTCTAAATTTCCGCCTGAAATGTTCCGCATTGATCCCAAACCTTGCAAAAATCAGCTTTTTAAAAGCTTCGTATTCTCTTGCTTTTTCTTGGCATTTGGGCGTATATTTCATCGAGTTCTCCACTTATTTGGGTTCTTAAAATGATCATTTTCTCTGATTCCTCTATTTTGTAGTCCCAGCAGGCTCTCTCAAACAGAATTAGGAAGGCCTCAGCATTATCTCCCTTTCTGAATTGTGGGAATTTCTTAAGGTCTCTTTTTGAAATCTCTTCTACTGCTGAATTATTATTATTCTGATTTGGGACTGTAAATTATAATTGTCTCATTTTAAATTAGTGTTCCATCTCTTTTTCCTTCATAGCCATTTCTCTTTCTCTCATTTCCAGTTGTCTGGCTTCTGCCTTTTCTCTTATTTCTAGTTGTCTCCTTTCTTGCTCCACAGCCATCTCCCTTTCTTTTGCTTCTAACTCAATTTGCCTTAGCTGAAATTCCTTTTCCAATTTCCACTTTTGAAACTCTTGGGAGGTTAAAATAGCTTCTCCTCTCCTTGAGGCCTCCTCCTCCTCCTCCTGCACAGCATCCTCCTGAGCATCATCATCTTGCTCAGCTAATTCAAGAGGGCTTTCCTCTTTGTGACGTAACCCTTGTCCTTCAGATACCTCCATTGTTAACCGTTTCCCTCTCTTAGAAGGCATGGTTTATCTGTTTTTTCACAGATTCAGATAGACAAGCCTCATTTTAAAAGGGACCTATTTTTTTTTCTGTGTTAGGGAGAGATTGATTGATATTGTACTCAGTAGCTTTCCCTTGACAGCTTAGGTTTGTTACTTTGGCATCTAGCCTCATTGTTCCCTGTAGGATACACTGTTTCTTTTCGCCTCCAGCCACCCAGCTATTTCCGCTTATGTTATTTTTCTGTTTTCCAAGCCCCTCTGCTTGGTCCAGTTCCCTCAGTTCTGTGTCTGACCCTGGCTTCTGCTTTTGTCCCCTTCAGCATTCCCTTCTTAGAGCCTAGGGTCCAAACCTAGCCCACTAGTCTTTCAAAATCTTGAGGTAAACCTTGAATTGTTGAGTTTTCCTCAGAGCTTTTCCCTTTCTTTAGTCTTTCCCTGGTCTGCAATCAGGAGTCTCTTTTAAGCTTTTCCCCAAGACACTTTCAAGGGTCCCACTCCTGCCCTTACAGCACCAGACTACTAGGTTTCCTAAGCTCAGGAAATTCACTTTTGCTTTGGCTTACTATAATCCCTTTTGCTTACTGGATTCTCACTCATATCTCTTTGGTTTACTGGATTATCTTTCGATCCCGCTGCTGGTCACCATGTGGCGATTGATCTTGTTGCCCGTTTATTGGGCCCTCACAAAGGATCACGCCCTTTTCTGATCTTGTTGCCCCTGTTTATTGGGCCCTCACAAAGGATCACGCCCTCTTTCACTTCTAGTGGCCACCAGGTATTCTCCTAATACCAATTATGTTATACACGTGTGCTGCCACAACTAAGGGTTATTGAACTTAGGAATCAGAGGTTTAATTAACAAATATTATTTTATTGTCAAGTAAATCATAAAGGTAAATCATGCATGAACTGTATCAGGTATTAACACAGATTGGATTATGTATGCAATCACTTTTATTCCAACTACTAAATACTTTTGATTAATATCTCTCTTATAGTACTTATAGCTCAATTCACTAACCCTCTTCTTCTCACTTTTAAACCCTAACTGCCATTCCACATCTCCAACTGTCTCTCTAACTCTGCCCCTCCTGCCCTATCCTTGGCTCCTCCCCCTTCAGCTTCCGTGATGGACAGGCAGGAATGATGTCACCTGTTGGCATTTCACCACAACTATGTAGGGTTTAGTCAAAATCCTCCCCAAACAAAACTCTGAATTAATTGTTTACAAATAAAGTTACTTACAATTACTAATTTCCCTCTATAACAAAGTTATAACTACATTGCATTATCACACCTTAATAACAGGTAACTCCTGTTGTAATAAAAGTAATCTCAAATTACTTTTATAATTATGGCAGTTGAGGGCTAAATTATGAAGGATAAATATGACCTTCAAGTGCTGCCTTTTGCTGCTGTCCCATGCTGTGTTATGGGTTTTAATGAGGGAGAATAGATCGTGTGTTTTGCACTACAAGCCAATCCATTTCCCAGCACATTTCAAAGTGCTGGTCTTAATCTATAAAGCCCTACTTGGTCTGGGTCCAAGTCTGCATTTCCTTCTATGAGCTTGCCTGGACTTTAAGATCATCAGGGGAGGCCTTTTCTTTGGTCCCTCCACCCTTACAGGTGCACTTGGTGAGGACACGGGAACAGGCATTCTTTGTTGCTGCTCCCAGGCTCTGGAACTCCATCCCATGGGAAGCCAGGCTGGCCCCATCATTGCTGTCCTTCTGCAAGCAGGTGAAGTCCTTTCCCTTCAGGCAGGCTTTCCTTTAGTAATTGGTGGTCTGACAGAATTTTTTTTTAATGGATTGCCATGCTCTTTTGTTTTAAATGTTTTACTACTGATTTTATTACTTTAATACTTTTTAAATTCTTTTTTAATATTTGTATACCTACTGGTTTTAGCTTTTAAATATTATCTTTTTAATTATGTAAGCCACTTTGGGTTCTTTTTAAGGAGAAAGGTGGGATAAAAGTGATTTAAATAAATCAATTAATTTGTAACATTCAGAATTTCTAAAAGAAATTGTACATTGCAAGTCCAAGTTTAATTCCAACCAAAACAAGTAAATACAGTGGTGCCCCGCTTGACGACAATAATGTGTTCCAGCAAAATCGCTGTACAGCGAAATCATCATCAAGCGAAAAAACACATAACTGGAATCCATTGAAAACCAGTCAATGCATTCCAATGGGGGAAATACCTGCTCATCCAGCGAAGATCCTCCATGGGGCGGCCATTTTGCGATGTCTATGTAGCGAAAATAGGTCCATAAAACAACAGGGAGCCATTTTGCGAACTGCTGATCAACTGTTTTTAATCGTCTAGCGAAAAATCGGTTCGCGAAGCAGGGTCCAAATCATCGTGAAGCGAAAAAAACCCCATTGAAACCATCATTTTGTGACTGCAAAAACTCATCGTTAAGCAATTTGTCAAGCGGGGTCATTGTCAAGCGGGGCACCACTGTAAGCACTCACATGTTGTCTGCCAGGTGAAGATTCCCCCAAAACAGATTAGCGGGAAGGTTCTATGGAGACACAAGCACCAGTCTGGAGGAGCCACAAGCCATGGTCAGATATATTTTCCCCTTAGAACCTTCAAGAGGCCTCTCAGTTCCTTTCCCTCTCCCAAAACAAAGAACAGAGACCAACATGGAGCACCTAGACATGTCGGGGCTGGCCTGTTGGCAGGCCAGCCCCGAGAGCAAGGCCTCTCCTTTTGCAGCATTGTTGCTTTCTTCAGGAAAATTTCAGCTCCAAGCCCACTGGCTCCTCAGTCAAATCTAAGTCCCATGGAAGTTCATGGAACATACCTTAGTCAGGGTGATCCTAAAGCCCATTGTCATCACAGGGATGCAGTGTTGTCATGGAAATTCCTGGGTTATGCCCTGCTGCTTTAGAGCTGTAAACACCTTGTCCCTTCCCCTCAGTTTCTCCCCTTCTAACCCTTCATCCACTTTCATGTTTTATCTGATCTAACCTTGTCAAAGACTTTATCCATAGCTTCACAGTTGGCTTCTCTGTGAGCTTCTTGGAAAAATAAATAAAAGAAATATCCATTTGAACATCCAAATGACAAAATGCCCTACCTGCCATGGTGACTAAGTTGGCTGAGGAAGTATATTTTCTAGTCACTGGGAAGAGGACCTCTACTACTCCTAACTGATCAAGTGTCTGTTAAGGAACAGCCAACGGAATGGTGATGATGCCGTAATGTTTATGACTGTTCCTATGGTAACCCATGGGTTGGTGGGGCAAGGGCAATGAGCATAACCACCATAGAATGGGATGATCTAAGACGATAAATAAACAAATAAATCATTCCATCCATTCCCCCATCACTTTTGCCTTGAAATTTGCCAATGGAGACTCAGTTTGAGATGGTGGCATTTATCAAACGTGGGTGATCATGTACTCTTACGTGGAGCTGCCAATGGAAAGTGTCAGGAAACTTCAACGGGTCCAAAATGCAGCACCCAGATTGCTGACTGGGGCTGGTAACAGGGATCACATAGCCCTCGTGTTACAGCAGCTCCACTGGCTGATGATCTGTTACCAGGCACAATTCAAAGTGCTGGTCTTAACCTATACATAAAACTCTAAATGCCCTGGGTCCAAGCCATCTCAAAGACTGTATAGCCCATTACGGAGCTGGCTTGGGTGTTAAGATCATCAGGAGAGGTCTTTGTTTCAGTCCCACCATCCTCACAGGTGCATCTGATGGGGTCACAGGAGAGAGCATTCTCTTGTTGCTGCTCCCAGACTTTGGAACTCCCTCTCACAAGAGGCTAAGCTGGCTCCATCTTTGCTATCCTTATGCAAACAGGCAAAGACCTTCCCCTTGAGACAAGCCTTCCCTCAGTAACCAACTGTCTGTGATTTTTAGATAGATTGTTATGCATTACTGCTGAGTGGAGTTTTAGTACTACTTGTTTTTCTATTTCTCAGAGTGACTTTTTTTGGTATATTGATCTTTGCCTCAATATTGCTCGCTAATGTTGTAAGATGCCTTCTTATTCACTGTTTGTAGTTTTAAATATTATCTTTTAATGATGTCAACCCCCACCGTATACTTGATTTCAACTTTAAATATTGTCTTTCATTGTTGTAATCTGCCTTGGGTCCTTTTCAAGAACATAGATGGGGTAAACATATTTTAAATAAATAACTAAATTCCTCTTTGGGATTTCTTCCATTGAGAGGCCAACACAACATGTGTTCAACTTTCCTTAAAGCCACGGTGATGCATATGAATGACAGACTAGATCTTAGGAGCTCTTAGACCTTTTTTGGACATGTTTCATAGTATTTGAGGTGTGTGGGGGGCAAAGAGGAGTTGGAAAGCTTTAGGGTAAGACACTCCAGTACATACGGTTTCTTCTACTCTCTTGCTCATTTATTAGGGTGTGTTTCCTTTACCTCACTAAAAATGCTTTTTATGCAAATAAGATGGTGAGGGGTCACAGGTTACTTGGCTATTATGACTTGAAAAAGGTTGGGAACATGGATCTAGTAAATGGCTGCGGTAATGCTATTAAAGTAGCCCAGTTCTGGTCAAAAATAGTCTAATCATTTTAAAATGTTAAATTTGTTTGAACTTTATATTTCATATATGTCCACAATTTTAAATTGTGCAATGTTCCAATATGAATAAAGAGAGAATTTATCGCTGGATCGCTGTTATTATTTACTGCATTTACGTCCTCGTCAACTCCCCAAACAATAAGGATCAACTGAGGAGGGCGAGAGGAAGGAAGGAATAGTGGCAGCAAGACTAGACGAGGGAAGGAAAGAAAGCAGGTGCTGTGGGCTGGAATGAGACTGCATTGCATCCAGTATGAATGGTGAACTCCTGTACGACTCCACAGCCCCTGTGTGAGCACTGACTGCAATTTCAAACATAATGCAGGCTGTATTTGTATTAGTGTGCCATACAAAATCTACCTAGTCATATACAACTCTATGCGTGTCTATCTAAAAGTTCCATTTTAGGTCCTGTAGCTTTAAGGCTGATTAGATAGTAAAGTGAGGCACAGTAAACATGTACTTTGAGCCTGTAATCCTATACCTTTCCAGCCCCATTGAACTCAATGAGACTTAGTTCCATTTTGAGTAGGTATTGGAGATGGGGATATTCATATTCATATAAGAATACAAATATCTTAGATGCAACTGGACCTAATGAGGGTCCGACCTCCAGAACTGGACTGTCCACTCATGCGTCTTGCTGCCATGCTTGGGGACGTCCCGTCATCCTTCCAATGGTGCCTGGAGCTCTGCTCTCTTGGTTGACCACTTCAGGCAGGGGGCGGGAGAATGGGTCTGTCCGCATGGCTGCTGAGTGGCCAGCTACGTAGGAAGAGAACGGAGTTCCAGCTGCCATTGGAAAGACGAGTGGGACTGGTGCCATTTTAGGTCCAGTCTTGTTGGGGCTATTTGTATACAATATCCCCATCTCTAATAGGTATGTTTAAGATTACTTTGCCAGCTACATTTCTAGTAAGGGAAAACAAGGCGAAAAGGATAAATATTCTCCAAATCACAAAGGCTTCTGGTTAGTTTCAATATTTATTTTAATTGTTCTCCCTTTTAAAGGAATTATTTGTTCCATGCAGACTTTTTATGCTCCAGGGCAATAAATTTAAAGGGCCATGAAACAATTTTGTAAGAATACAGATCCCGACATTTGAACTTTTTAAAAAATTATTGCTAGTTATTAAGACACAAATAGCTAATATATATCAAAGTGTGTAGAAACTATTTCCTTTAATAAAATAATGTTTGCAACTTCTTCCTCTTACTCATATCAGTAACTTAAACAAATAAAGAGGTTCAAGTCTGCTAGGTTGGCTTAGCATTCTCTTCTTGTTAATCAGAAATGGAAGTACAAGTTTCAGATGCTTTTGCAGCTGCTCTGGAAGCATCAGGAGGACCTTTTTTCAAGAAGTCCTGTACCATGACTTAGCAAGGAGCTAGGGAGTAAACTGTTAACAAATAACAATGTTCCATTTAAGTAAAACATATGGAGAGCACAACAACATTACAGTATTTTAGCAAAACAATGCAACTTCCAACTTAGTTGCTTTTTTTGTAATATTATCAGGAAAACATCTGGATTTCTAGAAAAGGAATTTCATTCATTCATTCATTCGACAAGTATACTGCCCCATTAGTGCAAGCACTATTTACCAATATACTGCCCCATTAGTGCAAGCACTATTTCTTCTGCTCAATGTATGCTAAAAAAATGTTTCCATACTCTTGACATTATACCTGAATGGTTGTTTGCAATGTGGGTCTTCCACACAATCCAAAAGTTAGCAGGTCCTTTCTCTGTATAGTGTGAAGTACTATGTAAAAGCTTGTGAGTTCAGTCAAATATACAGACAGAGCTCCTGTGTTCAAGATATGTGACTTACTGGGGTTCCCGACCACAAGAGTTCTGTGCTTAGGTCCCTTTGCAGACATTTGCATTAAACACATGCGGGTCTTGTGGAAGGTGGGAAATGAGTGGTAAGACATATCTGTGTGCTCTCACTGCTCCTTTAGGCTCCAACAGTTTCAACTATGATGTGTGAATAAGGCCATCGGAGTCCCAAAACTGGTTAGCAAAAGTTTAAAGCCAGCCTTACCAGCGTGTGAAATGGTATCTTAGGCACTACATATGACCCGCTACTATTTATGCATGTCATAGGTGTAAATACAGGCAAGATGTGTTCTTACTCTCACAACTCAGTTTTCAACTGATGAAATCAAAAGGTAGGCAAACCTAGTAAGTGCCAGGGATAAAAAAATTAGGAAAATCAAGGGACATGGAAAGAGCCAGTATCTTTAACAGGAAATGTAGAAGCTGGGATTTTTTTTAATGCATTCAGTGTACAAAATGGCATTTTGAAATTCTTCACCCTATTTGTGGAAGGAGAAAATGGAGTGAAAATATCACAGAATTTCTCCTACAATTTCTCAGAGGTGGGCCTCACCATTAACCATGGTTGTGCCAAACCTTTATTCTCCCCCCCAAAGAATTGCATTATTTGCATTACTACTGCAAGAAGGGAAAACCATTTCACTTCCTCCATAATTTCCTCTAGCTTTTGTCATCCAAAAGAAAAATCTCAGACCAGTTCTCAGAAGAAACATTTTTTCAATATTCATCATTCTTCATTCAACACCTTTGCCAGACTTTCCAATAGTTACATTTATTTGTTTGTTTGTTTGTACATCACCTTTCTCCCGTAGGCAATATTTAAAGTAGCCAATATTTAAGGCAAGCAATGCAGAGTCCTCTCATCTCTATGACACCATCAAAGTTAGCAGGTATGAAAGAGGGAAGCATTTTGTCCACTCAAGAATAAACTTGAAAGTACTTTCCTAACATAGTTTGTCGTTCAAATTTCCATAGGCTTTACCTTTCCAAGACAAAGGTTCAGTTTTAGTCCCTCTTTCTTGGAGTTTTTCAGAATTCCTTTTTTTTAGTTTACCATAACAGTGCAGGCTAGCCAAATATGCTGTTGGTTCCCCCCCCCCAATTGTACTACACATCTCTTCATCACTTTGCAGCTTCCCTCAATGATGGAAACTTTCTGATCTGAAAAAGCCCTGTAAAAGGAGTTATCTTATAACACCTTCCCTAATTAATTGAACTGTTGGAAGCTGGGGTGGGGAAAATCCCAGGTATTGCAAAAATGATTATACTGTACAATGAAACACAAGATGCACACACACCTCCCAGCCACCTAATGAGTATGGCAAGTGCAAGAATCCTGAACGCCAGCTCCCACCTAGATCTGCCTGGATCACCCGCACAAGCCAGGAGGTGAGGCTGAGGAGCCTAACGCCGAGGGAGGCCCGGAATGAACGAACACGAAATAGGGCCTTCTCGGCGGTGGCTCGCCTCTGGAATAACTTTCCTCCAGCAATTCGTGTGGCCCCTACGCTGGGCACTTTCAAGAGTCAGTTAAAACATGGTTGTATGTCCATGCCTTCCCTCCTGTCAACACCTAATTTCTCTTCTTTATTTATTATTTCCTTTATTCTCGTATATGTCACAGTCTGTAATATTTTTATTATTTATTGTATATGTTCCTTTTTATTGGAAGCTGCTCAGAGTGATCTACTTGACCAGATGGGCGGGATATAAATCAAATAAATCAAATAAATAAATCAAATAAATAAATCA